ATGTGCGGTGGATTAATGTGCGTGTGATTTGTACTCAATGTGCGTGAGTGTTGTGCTTAGTGTGCCTGAAATTTGTACTTAATGTGGTGAATGTGTAAAATGCAGCAGAAAATATTGATGTCAGCTTCTTCCCCATCTCCAGTAGCCATTTGCCCCCTCCCTGATGATGATGATGCGGAGGTGGTCTATGGTGGTTAAGAATTATGGGAATAATACAACAGAAATTCACACTTAGCTGCTGTGCAAATTTTACTGTGCATGCGTCATTTATATAAACATTCAACTGCACTGAAGGTAGCTGATAATCCAGAATTCATGACCAAATTGAAGGAAGAAGTAACACAAGCTTGGGCGTTAATGTGCGTGAGTTTTTGTCCTGCTTCCTTTTGAGCTCGTAATTCTGAAATACTCACGCACATTAAGAACAAATCTCACGAACATTAAACACAATACTCAGGCACATTAAGTACAAAACTCACGCATATTAACATGACGCACATTAATTACAAATCTCAGGCACATTGAGTACAAATCTCACGCACATTAAGTATAAACCTCACGCACATTAATCCACCGCACATCCGCACGGGAAGCCACAAATGCACCTGATCCCTTCCCTATATATATATATATATATATATATATATATATATATATATATATATATATATATATATATATATATATATATATATATTTATTTATTTATTTATTTATTAATTATTTTTTTAGTATATCGACTTATTTATTACCAACAATCTTAAGGGGGTGTATTCAATCATGACTTTTATACACTTTTAATAATTTTTATGAACTTTAAAAGTTTGGAGGTATTCACTCGATCATGAGCTAATTTTTGTGGTGTAGTTAGAGTCTTGACTTGAGTGCCATATAAATAAAGTCCAGACCCCTTCTCAAGGGGTACGTGGGTCCACAAGAGTTTGCCTCCCACTCATGAACTAGCTGAACCAAACAATGCCTCAAGTGGGAATCTAAAAAGAAGTGAACCCTGGTCCATGGTATAAGAATTGGTAATTCACCTTCCTAATAATACACATGCATCTACCCACATTTGATGGGATATAAAACATGCATACTCTCACTCTCACAAATTAGCACAAGGAACAACCACTGCTTGAGGTAACAAATTAAAGGAATTCATTACAACAATCCTAAAAGAAAACACACATTTACCAAGATAGTCAATTACATTTTACACACACATATAGCTTACGTATATTTCTTCAGTCTCTTAGCTTGAATTCAACATATATGGCTTCAAACCGGCCAATTAAAGATAATAAGCATGATGGGACTGGAAATTAGATGGACAGTCCTTGGACGCTGAATTGTGAAGTAAAGAAGTTGAAGTCATGATGCCAAAATTTGAGTCGCTTCAACCAACACTCTGCGGCATTGTAGAGGTCAATGATTCTCTCATAGTCATCAAACGTATTTGCATTTATCCAAATCTCATCATCCAATCTATATGTAGCCATTCCAAATGGATAAAGAACATTCCCACTCTTTTTAGTATTGTTTCCTTCTTCTCCTTTCATCATTTCCATATCTTTCTTCCCTTTCTTATTCCCATCCTTGTCCGGATTTACAACTCCGCCTATATTTGTACCGCAAAATAAAAACTAAGTACTTTAATTATAAAATCACCATAAATATATTTAAAGGAAACTATATATTCTAATTTTCAATGAAATTAAATTGTAAAGGATAGATAATTCTTATTTTGTTTGTCAATATTCGTATATGTTGTTGAACGGAGGGCGGTAAAGGGCAAGTCTAGCACCTGGTGGTTGGAGCATTGTTGGGCGAAGGCCAGTAGAGGCCAAGTCTAGTACCCGGTGGATGGAGTATTGTTGGGCAGAGGCCGGTAAAGGCCAAGTCTAGAATCCAGTGGCTGGGGTTAGCGGAGGCCGGTAAAGGCCAAATCCAGCACCCAGCGTCTCAAAAATGTGTGACGGAATAAGGAAATAAAGTTGCGCCTTCTCTACTAGCTATACTTTTGGCGTAAGTGGTAAGCGCTTGATAGAGCCAGGTCACTGGTTGGTGCTGGGAGCCTGAGATTGGTGAGGGGAATTGTTAGGCGGAGGCCAGTAAAGGCCAAATTCAGCACCCAACGTTCCGAAAATATTGTGCTAGTTGTAAGCACTTGATCATAACATATGCCTAATTGAATTTTCACAATATTTCGTACCTGGAATAGATGCTAAGAGAGCATGATAGGTAAGGAAGCAAGTTGACAGACGATCCTTGTGATGTTCCTTTGTTGGAATTGATAAATAGGGTACCTAACGAAATAGAATGTATAGTATATACAAATTAGCCAATGATAACACATATTACTATACAATATGTCAAATCAATGGTGCAATTCTATTATATATTTATATATTGAGTTTAATGAATTTAATTAACAATACAAATACAATTGGAGAATGTGAATTTCAAGAAAATAGTCACATACATACCAAGCAACTGAAAT